AAATGATGGCATTCTAAGTCTGTTACTCCTTTTGCATTTATTAGCTGAAATTCTATAAGGAAGACGTCTCCCTCGTCAGCTATATGATACATTAAAATATAGTTCATATGGGAAAGGGAAGATAATATTTAAATTCTTTGTCTTAGTCTATTACTTTTAAAGGTCTATCTGTTGCATATTTAAGCATTTTGTATCATATTTACCCATTGTTATAAAATTAAGTATGAATTGGGTCTGTTTTGGTTTTTGTACTGAAAATAATAGAAAGTTCTTATTATGAGATATAATCTAACATAATCCACATTATATGATGTGCCTCAAGAAGGGTTATGATACATGTGAAAACTGAGTGAACGTTCAGACTGCTAAATGATTGTTAGTAAAGTTACAATTGAAGTGATTATATTTCAATATGAATTTGGGGAAAATACATTTTAGTTTTTATTTATTTTATTTTTATTTTTTTTACAGCTGTTAGACTTCTTGGATCAGCATCCCTTTTCATTTACTCCTCTAATTCAGAGATCACTGGAATTTTCTGTAAGCTATGTTTTTACAGAAGTTGGTGAAGGCGTTACATTTGAACGATTCATTGTCCAATGTATGAATCTTATTAAGATGATTGTCAAAAATTATGCTTATAAGCCATCCAAAAATTTTGAAGGTAATTGCTTTACTGACAGTTTAAAAGAATTATTTTAATCTTAAGTGTGATATAATTGCTATATTTATATAATTAAAAAACTTTTATTTTAGTGTGAAAAATAAATTGTTGCTAGGACATGAAATAGAGGTGAGGATTATAGATTTTAATATGTTTATACTAGCTTTTAAAAACAATGTAGTACATTTAATAAGCCATTTTTTGTAGCACAAGTTGGTTGAAGCTTAGGGACTTTTAAGAATTAGGTACTATAGTCATCACTGCTGCTCATATTGCTGGGTGTATTCATTTGAACAAATAAGAGCTTTCTCTGACTTTATATAAAGGGTGGTTGTTTCTAGACATGTTAAATTGTTGTATTATTTGAAATTCATTCATATGTGTGTGTACCAAAGTGAATGAAGAAGTCTTGTTGGTAGGGGGAGAGAGAAACACACGCACACCCCCCATATCCTCTATATATGAGGAAGTCATTTCAATGTGGCGTGATAGTATTGCATGGTAATATACAAGCTGTAATGGTAAGACAGAAGCAGGATTGATGTGGGTATGTTGTAAGGAAAGAGTATCTTTGAGATTTGTTTATAATAAAAATGAAAATTTATGCACAAGTATAACTTTTTCCCTGAGTGTATTTTTTGTTTATTTAAATTACATAATCCAGTGTGGCTACAATGTTTGGCTATACAATTAACTTGGAAATTTCATTTTTCCAGATAGCAGCCCTGAAACTCTTGAAGCCCATAAGATTAAGATGGCATTCTTCACATATCCTACTTTGACAGAGATATGTAGAAGATTAGTCTCTCATTATTTTCTGTTAACTGAAGAAGAACTGACAATGTGGGAAGAAGACCCAGAAGGCTTTAGTAAGAATTAATTTCTTAGTGTTAGCATGACTTTTCTCCCCTTTCTATAAATATCTGTTTGAGTGATAGGTATAATATTGTATTTTCATACAGCACTTTTGATCTGGAAATCTTGGTTTTTTAAAATTAACTTACTCTTTCTTTGTTATTCTTTAGAACAAATTGAGAAGCAGAAAATGAATGACTTACACAAATATGATGTAGAATTTTGTCCAGGAAAAGACGTTTTTAGTTTTTAGATTCCTTTACAAATACGTAGTTTCAAACAAAAATATAAAATTAACTCTCTCTTATCAGGTCAGTTTCTGTTTTGTAATTAATTCCATATTTTTTATTTGTAGAAATTCTTGCAAAGAAATTTGGAGGTTTTTGAATAGTTTTTTTTTGGACAGGACTTTTTTGTATCTGTTTGAATTTTAGTACTGGATAGATAAGTGGAATAAGTCTACTGGAACCCTTGCTGTAGAAAATCAAGGAATCATGTGTCTAATAAAGCACTTGTGTGTGAACTACTTATGCTATAGTGGGACATAGGCTAGATTTTAGCCTCCCTTTTCTCTTTGGTTGGATGCCCTTGTGTAGTTACACATGTTTCCTAATATTTTAAGAGTGCCCAAAATTTTCTGTAATACTTATTTTCGCCATCCTTTTGGTTTTTAAAAATAATTTTAATACAGGATTGTACTGTACAACATGTCTTTTCTTGTTTTTTTTTATTTTTTTCTGAAACATCTTGTTTCGATTTGCTTTCTTTATATAGTACGTACAATATTGTAACATGAAGCATTGAGTCCCTAAATTTTTAAGAACCCTGAAGTATTTTACTTTAAATTTAAATATAAATACAAGAAATTTATGGAGAATGTGAGTAATCGTTGTACCTAGTGAAACATGATTACTGTATTGAAATGAAATGATTCTCAGAATTGTAATGGTATTGGATCAGGTGATAGCAGATGCCCTGGAAATGACAAGTACTTTGAGCTTTTTTCCATAAAGCATTGTTGTCGAAAATGAGAATGCTTACGGATATAGTAAGCACTTAAGAGACGACTGTGAGATACACAGCTGTGATCTGTAGCATGTAGTAACAAAACCTGTGTAAGGCCTGTGTTCCCAAGGATTTGCTCTTAATGTTATGTTTAGAACAGTTCACAGAAATATTATACTGATGTTATTCAGATCTTTGTTTTCCAAACCAAGATGTTGAAAATGTCATTATTACATATTTTTAATTGCAGCAGTGGAAGAAACAGGAGGAGATTCTTGGAAATATAGTTTGAGGGTAAGTATTAATTGCAAGAAAAATTGATGGGGGAAAGCTTAATCCTTCTAAAGCTCTTAGTAGAGAATGACACTCTGTTAAAGATTCCAAACACTTGCTGGGCATGGTGGCTCACACTTTAATCCTAGCAGTTTGGGAAGCCAAGGTGGGAGGATTGTTTGAGCCCCGAAGTTCAAGACCAGCCTGGTAAACATAGTGAGACCCTGTCTCTGCGAAAAGTAAAAAAAGAAAAAAAAAAAAAAAATTAGACCAGAGTGGTGGCGCACACCTCTAGTCCCAACTATTCAGGAGTCTGAGGCAGGAGGATTGTTTGAGCCCAGGAGGTTGAGGCTGCGGTGTGCCATGATAATGCCACTGCATTCCAGCCTGGATTACAGAGCAAAACCCTGTCTCTTTTAAAAAAAAAAGAAATTAAAGATTCCCAACATTAAGTCAGACAGATGAGAAACTGTTTATAAGAAACTAAGAACTATATTAATATTAAATTATGACGCTTAATCTGAATTTTTTTCTTTTTGTTAACTTGGAGTTTGAAAATGAATTTTTTCTTCATCTTTCCCATTGCTTGGGAAATAATTGTCATTGCACAAACGGAAAATGTTTGTCAAAGTAAAAGCTGCCACTCTTAAGCTAGAATTTTTTCCTTCTATGTATTTCATTAGTAAAGTTTCTTTTGGTATGTTGTTTCTCTTACCACTTAGTGTGATTCTCAGAGACCAACCCATTGCTTTCAGTTAGAGGATACTTTTACAGCACATTTATTAATATGACAAATGTTTTGCCATTACAGATGTGATGTTTGAGCTGTTCTTTTTAAGATTTGTGCTTACATAATTTACAGAATTTGCTATTTGTTTTCTAAAAATATTATCTTTAATGTTTTTAGACTCGTAAACTTACAGTTTGTTAACCAGAGAGATTACTGGTGATTTTGAAACTTTAAACAATTTCATTCCTTTAATTTTTAAAAGTTTCTCTTACGGAGAAGTTTAAACATACTAAAAAATAGAATAATATAATGAGCCCGTCATGATAACCTAGTTTATTAGTTATCAACTCATGGCTACTTTAGCTTCCTGTAAACATCTTCCAATGTTGATGGTTTTGAAGTAGATATCTGAGATGACACATCCTCTGACCCTATTTCGGTGTGTATGTCTATAATGTTCCTTTTGAAACACCACACTAAACCTTAAAAATTTAATTAAAAAATGTAAATATTGTGAACCATCTAGTGATTCCTTTATTTTAATTTAAATAAAATAATTGTTAAAAAATTTTTTTGTAGGTACATAGTAGGTGTACATATATATGGGGTACATGAGATGTTTTGATACCAGCATGCAATGTGAAGTGATTCAGTACTTTTTAGAACCAAACGAATCTTTGTTTTTAAATGTAGCTAACACTAATTTCTGTTACTGCTTGTGTTTGTTAAGAGAAATACTACTCTATTTGGCAAATTGGAGTTCCTGTTTTTGCTTATTATATCATTGCTAAGAAAATACGTAATAGCTGCTTGGGAGGCTGAAGCAGGGGAATCGCTTGAACTCAGGAGGTGTAGGTTGCAGTGAGCTGAGATCGTGCCACTGCACTCCAGCCTGGTGACAGAGTGAAACTCTGTCTCCAAAAAAAAAAAAAAAAAATTCTTGGATAGTCAGCCATTTATAGTACTGAACTATAAACGAGTGGCTACAGAATGCTTTTTAAATTTAAGATATGATTAATTTAAAATGTACACTTTGCTTGCCATAGTTTTAAGTTTTTGAATGCGTAATGACAAATAATTGAAATAAGGAAATCAAGTTTCTCTTATTATAATTCGATTTTGTTTTCCTTTGTGTTGGTTACAAAAAATGGTAATCTTTTTTTTTAACAAATCAAAAGTTGGAAACAAGTTTTAGGATTTTAAGATTGAGTATTTGCTTTATTATAGAATTAGTCAATATAGTATGCAACTGTTTTGATGGGAAATTTGTCTTTTTCCCTCTCCAGCCATGCACTGAAGTATTATTTATAGATATATTCCATGAATATAATCAGACTCTTACTCCTGTACTTCTAGAAATGATGCAAACACTTCAAGGTAAGGCATATTTTGTGAGTAACTTTGAGTTAATCTATTTAACATTTAGTTAAGAAATAGTCTGAGTGCCTACAATGCATACGGAACTGTTTCCTGTGTCATATAATGAATATGAATTTGAGAAAAACAATTTTGAAACTTACTGTCTTCCAAGGGGTGGCATTTGAGATAGACCTTGAATTATAGTTTGGAAGATGATAAATTTTCCTGTAATAAATGCAGTAGAAGCAAAAGCAAAACAGTAGTCGTATTGCTTGCAGAAAGTCTATCTGGAGCATGTTGTTGAGAAATAGTGAGAAAAGGTTAAAATAGTAAGTGTTAGCCTCTCAGAATGGTAGCAATGGGAATGGAAAGAATTGATGATGGATTTGAGAGAAAATATTGATGTAAATTTTTGACACTTGATCATTACACTTTATACACAAGTAATGAATTATCTGCCTATTAACTAACATCGATTTATGATTTCTGTCTTTTCTGCTAGACTGTTAAGTCCTAGGGGCATTGATCATGTCTGTTTTGTTTATACTTTATTCCCAGTGCTGGGCATATTCAGTAACTATTGTTACTTGATTGACTTTTGGCAACTGATTGAATGCGCTAGGGAAGGAAAAGTGATCAAAGATGATCCTAAACTTTTGAGCCTTCATGACAAGGAAACAGTTACCTCATTAGAAGTGGTAGGAGATAGAGATGTACTTTTGAAGTGCATGTATATAAGGAACTTTGGGAAAACAAAAGAGGATCTTAAGGACAGAACCTGAGATTTTCACCTATAGGGATATGAGGAAGTAAAAGCCTTGTAAAAATGCCAGGTGTGATGGTGTATCCTAGAGAAGAGCATGTCGTCAGAAGTGAGTGTTGGCCAGGCATGGTGATTCACGCCTGTAATTCCAGCACTTTGGGAGGCTGAGGTGGGCAGATCACTTGAGCCCAGGAGTTCCAGACCAGCCTGGACAACGTGGCAAATACCTGTCTTTACAAAATTAGGAAAATTAGCTGGGCCTGGTGGTGAGTACCTGTAGTCCCAGCTATTCAGGAGGCTGAGGTGAGAGGATCATTTGAGCCCAGGAGGCTGAGGCTGCAGTGAGCTGAGATCACTCCACTATACTCCAGCCTGGGTGACAAAGCAAGACCTTGTCTCCAAAAAAAAAATAATTTTGTGGTATATAGCACATTAGCATTTTGTAGTGTATATTTTCTAGAATGTTGTTTGTCATAACATTTGGTTTTTAATCCTGTGTTCTCTAATGATAATCATAAAACTTAGACTTTCCCTTTGTACCTGTGTCCATGTTTGATACCATGAAATGTGCTGTACTTAATTGAATTGGGAAACTAACAAATTTGTGTTTAAATATAAATTTTTAAAAATCCAGTTTTATTTGCTTCTACTGATACCTATTTTTTTTTTAAGGACCCACAAATGTGGAAGATATGAATGCATTGTTAATCAAAGATGCTGGTATGTTAAACTTAAGTGATTTAGAAGCATTTATTTATTCAGTAGATGGAGAGTCTGTTTTGTGGTAGATTTTATGCTGATGGTGTTGAGATATAAGAGTAACTGAAATATGGGAACAATCTGATTGGGGAGATAACCAAGTAAAAAGATAATGCATTATAATAATGCTATACAGGATAGTTAATGCTAAAGTAGGTGATGATCACCAGGTAGTTTGGTGTGTCTAAGGAAAGACTCCCAAAGAAGTGTATTGGGAGAACACAAGGATAAATAGGAGTTACATGTGCACGGAGGTGGTGGTGGAAAGAGGGTGGTGCATTCCAGGGAGATGGAGCAAAAGATACAAAGACTTGAGGGAAAGAGGAGGAAGCACAGTTAGAATTTGAATTGTGACTATTTTGGTTTAACTGAAGCATTGGGGTTAAGGGTTGAGTTGAGACTGGAGAGAGTTAAGTAGGGACCAGGTCATAAAATATTACATCCATTTTAGAAGCAGCCATTATTTTATCATTTTTATAGTTGGACTTAAATATTTTAGAATGAATTGAATTTTCTGTTTGAAAGTAGTAAGGAATATTTAGGAAAAACATGAAGTAAAATAATGTTTCTAAAATGTCTACTTAAATTATTACCCTAATTAACATATTGTGTGTTTCCCTTAATTAATGTATGTTTCATACACTCATTTGCAGATCTGATATCTGAAACCTTTAATTTTTTTCTTAAATTTTCTTCTCAGTGTATAATGCTGTTGGATTAGCTGCTTATGAGCTCTTTGACAGTGTTGATTTTGATCAGTGGTTTAAAAACCAACTTCTTCCAGAATTACAAGTCATTCACAATAGGCAAGTATAAAATTTTGTATTAATTATCCACTTACTTTTCCTTATTTATTCTATGAATGAAGACAGGAAGGTATTAAAACGGCTTACAATTTAAAAAATGCAATCGTATGAGTTAAGTAATGTCTTACGTGGAAAGGAATAAGAATTTTGACATCTAGGAAGTATTTGACATATCAGGTAGTTTGTGAGAGAAAAGGAGGACTTTATGCAAAGATGAGGGAGGATGGAGGTCTCTGAATTCAAGAAACTATGCCTAAGAAAAAGACAATTGGAAACTTAGCAAGAGGTATGCCTAGTGTCAGAAGTAGCCTAATCAAAGTAACATCTGTGAAAGGTGAGTGTCTTGGGATCACATAATGCATACTGCAAGTCTCTGGGAAGATAGTAGAGTAGAATGTAGAGACATCATGGCAAAAGTATTCAAGTACACTTTAAGTTCTAGTTGAGGTACCTAATTAAATAGTACAGATTCATATTACATTTAGTACTATGAATGACGAAATAAATGAATTTAGTACATTTAATAGCACATTTGCCCAATGCTTTTTTTTTTTGAAACAGAGTCTCATTCTGTTGCCCAGCCTAGAGTGCAGTGCTGCAGTCTCAGCTTACTGCAACCTCTACCTCCCTGGTCCACGAGATTCTTATGCCTCAGTCTCCTGAGTAGCGGGGATTACAGGTGCATGCCACCACACCTGGCCAGCCCAATTCTTAGGTTTTAGATACATTTAAGCACTTGCCTACTTACTTAAATTTTAGGTGTAGAATACATAAAATGAAAGGAAAAACCTCGTTCATAGTTTATAAAATTATTTCTTAGTTTAAAATTGCATAATTTAAAAAAATTCTAAGGGGCATTTTTCTTAGTTTGAAGGTACACTTCTACTGATTCACTTCAGTATACCTGCAGCCTATCAGAATACTTAGAATGTAGTCATAGACAGACAGTTAATATTTGTTGACTAAACTAACGAACGTACAGAAGGTCACATTTAGAGCCACAGAATTTGCAGAGTTGGAGATACTCCAATTCTTGCCAGTAAGTAGCTGTTTATCTCTTCAGTTATTCAATCATTTATTCAGTTAACATATATTTTTAACACTTGGAATTTGCCATGTCCCATAGGCAGTGTTGAATAAAATAGACTCTGACTTAGTCTCAGGGAGCTAGTGAGCCTTTGATGGAGAGAGAACTTTTGGCGAGACAAATGTGCAGTTTAGTTGTCCTTGAACCCTAGAGGCTATTTAGTATAAGATCTTCACTGTCCAGTACAGAAGCTCCCTACGTGTGGCTATTGAACACTTGAAATGTGCTTAGTACAACTGAGGAAACAACTTTCCAATTTTAATTAATTTAAATTTAAAGATTAAAGCCATGTAAAATATTTATTGATTACATGTTGAAATGATAATATTTTGGATATATTGGGATATGTAAAAATATTAATAAAGTTTTATTCATTTTCTTCCTCTTATAATGTGGATACTACAAAATTAAAATAACATACATGGCCTGCATTGTATTTCTAATGGACAAAGCTGATGTAGACCAGTGTTTCTCAAACTTTAATGTACATAGGAGTCACCTGTTAATCTTGTTAAAGTTTAGGTTTTGACTTAGTTGGTCTGGGACAGATCAGGCAATGCACACATTGAATAGCAAAGTGATCTATAATTTTACCTCTGTTTGGATATGTCTGTGACTTTGGAATTTTACCTTTCTGAGTTTCATTCTGTTTATCTGGAACAGAGAGTCTAATATGGTCTTACTCCCAAAATCGATGGTTCTTTGGTGCTTTTACTTCACTCTACACAAGTTGTTACTTCTGCCTGTGTCACTTGGTTCAAACAGTTTCTGTCCCTTGAAATGACATTTTTTTACCCTTCAGCTCCAATACTGTTTATCTCAAAGACCTGCCCAGATTCCATCTGTCTCTGCCCATTTCTTCTCTTCCTTTTCTAAAGTCCTAGTACACTACTTTGTGTTTTTTAATTCCTTTAGGTATGTTACAAACTTCTTGGGGTCGGGAATATTTACATACATATTTTTGTGACTTTTATTTATTTATGTATTTAGTTTTTGAGATGGGATCTCACTTTGTCACCCAGGCTAGAGTGCAGTGGCATGATGTTCACCCACTGCAATCTCTACTTCCCGGGCTCAAGTGATCCTCCCACCTCTGCCTCCTGAGCAGCTGGGAGCATGGCGTGTGCCACCATGCCCAGCTGTTTTTTTGTAGTTTTGGTAGAGACAGGGTTTTATCATATTGGCCAGGCTGGTCTCAAACTCCTGCCTGAGCTCAAGCGATCTTCCCGCCTCAGCCTCCCAAAAGCTGGGATTACAGGTGTAAGCCACTGTGCCCGGCCCAGTTTTTGCAACTTTAATGAGCATTTTTTTCCCTATATGTTTGATCATCTTTTAGAATTGTGGTTTTTTGGGGGGGAAAAAAAGTGTTTCATTTATACCCAGAAATATTTATCATCTTGCCACTAAAATTTACATAATAAGGTACTTCATGAGTGAAATTCTTGGACACAAATGTTTTGAACTGCATGATTTTTCTCCTTACCCGAGCTTTCATTTCTTTTAGCAAAGATGATGAGAGAAAGAAGTGTATATGCATGCTACTGCAAATGTTTTGCAAATGTTAATATATGTTATTTTGGTAATCTGAGTCACATTCTGTTATTGTGTACCTCTTACAAAATTAGCTTAGTTGAAACCACAAAATTTATATGAATGTTTTATATAAGCCTAGAAGTTTCTTACATTGTTCTGAAAATAATCTTCATAGTATTAACAGAATTGGAGTAGAAAATTAAATACAGGAGCTTCTTTATTATTATTTTTGGGAAGCTTTCCAGTTTTAGAGTTTGGGGCATTGCCACTATTTTTGGTTACTTGAGCTAAAAACAAATGGATTTGGTTTTTATGAAACATATCTACATTGCGATTCTTAAAAGAATCAGGATTGCAACATATATGCCTAGGAAAAAATTTTTAAGTACTAAAAATTTTAATAATATTAATTTATTTAGATCAGGACTTTATTGTTAATATTTTGTACTGTGGTACATTTAGAAGTAGCCTTTAAGCTTTATTTTTTTTGACAGAGCCTTGATCTGTCGCCTAGGCTGGAGTGCAGTGGCAGAATCTTGGCTTATTGCCAACCTCTGTCTCCTGGGTTTCAAGGGATTCTTGTACCTCAGCCTCCCAAGAAGCTGGGACCACAGGAGCATGCCACCATGCCCTGCTAATTTTTGTATTTTTAGTAGAAATGAGGTTTCACCATGTTGCCCAGACTGGTCTTCGGCTCCTGGCCTCAAGTGATTTGTCCTCCTGGGTGGCATACCAAAGTGCTGGGATTATAAGCGTGAGCCAGCACACCCACTTTTAAGCTTTTATGTTAAAAATGCAGATTGCATTCTTACTACATTTTAGATTTAAATGATAAATTATGCTAAATGAAATAGACCTCTTAAAATATTTAACATTTTAATTTGATGATTTTTTCCTGTTTAGGTATAAGCCATTGCGGCGCAGGGTGATTTGGCTCATCGGTCAGTGGATTTCTGTGAAATTCAAGTCTGACTTAAGACCCATGCTTTATGAAGCAATCTGTAACTTGCTTCAAGATCAAGATTTAGTGGTATGTTTCTTAAGTGCCTTAAAAGAGTTAGTTTTTAAAGTTTCACCTGTGCAAATCATCAAGTTCACAACGGTTTATGTCTTTCTTTATAATGTTTATGACCTTTTACTGCACTAGCTATTCGTTGGTGAGCAGTTTGATTTGAGGGTAGAAAATCCTTTGATTATTGTTTGCCCTTCCCATTACTAGTCATTGAAAAAAAAAATTAAGCTCTACTGTTATAATTTATAATTTCTTTTTTTTTTTTTTTTTTTTTGAGACGGAGTCTGACTCTGTCGCCCAGGCTGGAGTGCAGTGGCCAGATCTCAGCTCACTGCAAGCTCCGCCTCCCGGGTTTACGCCATTCTCCTGCCTCAGCCTCCCAAGTAGCTGGGACTACAGGCGCCCGCCTCATCGCCCGGCTAGTTTTTTGTATTTTTTAGTAGAGACGGGGTTTCACCGTATTAGCCAGGATGGTCTCGATCTCCCGACCTCGTGATCCGCCCGTCTCGGCCTCCCAAAGTGCTGGGATTACAGGCTTGAGCCACCGCGCCCGGCCCCCTATAATTTATAATTTCTTAGTAAGAAAAAAAAAGGCAGTTTAAAAAAAAAATCCCTTTATAGCTTATATATTCTTTTTAAAATTCAGGATAGATGTTGGCATTGAAATAGCATCATAATTTATTTTATCTTTACTTGATTCTTTGTCCCTCATTTGTGAGAATTTTTTTTAAGCCTTTGGAATTATTGGGCTCTTTTAAGGGATTTTTCTTTCTTTATGGTATTCATATATTATTGTTGATTTTGTGTTACTGAAAACTTTATAGTAAGCTCTTTGTTGCTTTTTTTCCCCTTCAAAGCAGTAGGCTTGCTGCTTTATTATAAAATTACTGAAATAGTAGTAGTAATTTTACAGGCCTATGATTTTAAGAAGTTTAAATTGTAAAGAATAGTTTTCTTTCTTTTTTCCTACTGGTGCTTTATTATATGCCTGGGTGACTATATTAGTGACTTAATATATGTGTTCATTGTCTTTTCCTGATTTTCGATTTGTTTTAGGTAAAATTAAGTGATTTTTTTTTCTCCCCTGAGTTGTGCTAAGATCTTTTTAAATCATTTCTTAGTCTCCCTCCCTTTACCCTGCCAAATCTTATTTTTAGTTTGAACCCACCTAGTTTTTGCCTTTCAGCACAGGCTTGGACTATACTTCTTTTTTTTTTTTTTTTTTACATATGCTGCCATAAAGAAAACTACATGTAGTGTTCACTAAAGGAAAACATAAATAGGTGAATTTGTTACAGAAACACAATACATTCCAAAGGCAAATAGAACTGATCTTTGGATTTTCTACCTAAGTATTATCTGCTTTGTGTAAATGATTTGAGAATTTAAGTACCATTCTGTAATTATTAAATACTAATTAAGTATGGGAAGTTACAAGAGAGCCTTGTGGTGGTTTACTGGGTTTACATTCTTAGAAATGTATTAGTATAACTTAGCTGCTTCTAAAATTTCTATTTGCTAAAATTAATTTTCTTTTGTAATAGCTTACAATAAACCATAAGATTTAAATTTTTGCTTTCCTAGTTGGAAATATTATTTGCTCTTCTGTCAGAGAGAAGATATTAAATGATTTATAGATGTGTTACAAAAGGGTTAAATTTCAATTAGTTTTCTTTGGGAAATAGAGAAATTGCTGGGAGTTTTTCTTTTTTCTTTGTTTTGTTTTGTTTTGTTTTAGGAGACTGAGTCTCTCTCTGTTTCCTAGGTTGCAGTGCAGTGGTACGATCACGGCTCATTATAGCCTCAATGTCCTGGGCTCAGCTGATCCTCCCACCTCAGCCTCCCAGGTGTCTGGGACTATATGTGCAACAACGCCTGGCTGATTTTTCTATTTTTTGTAGAGATGGTGTTTCGCCACATTGCCCAGGCTGGTCTTGAACACCTGGACTGAAACAATCCACCCACCTCAGCCTCCCAAAGTGTTAGGATTATAGGCGTGAGCCACTGCACTGGGCCCAGAAATTGCTTGGGTCTTAGACTTGTTTTATAATGAGTCTATTAAAAAAGGAAAGAGAAAAATGAATTATTTCAGCCAGCGCCTTAAAAACAGAACATTAATTCTACCAGATACCAACAAGTGTAACTGGAGAGAAAGGGATTCATGGCCAGATAGGTTTGGAAAACTTTGAGATAAATATTCAAATGGGCTTCTTAGTAACACAACTGGTCAAAGCCTTTAAAAATGCACATTTGTGGTGTGCGTAGTGGCTCACGCCTGTAATCCCAGGACTTTGGGAGGCTGAGGCGGGCCAATCACGAGGTCAGGAGTTCAAGACCAGCCTGGCCAGCATGGTGAAACCCTGTCTTTACTAAAAATACAAAAATTAGCTGGGCCTGGTGGCACGCGCCTGTAGTCCCAGTTACTTGGGAGGCTGAGGCAGGAGAATCGCTTGAATCTGGGAGGCAAAGGTCGCAGTGAGCTGAGATCGCCCCACTACACTCCAGCCTGAGCGACAGAGAAAGACTGCGTCTCAAAAAAAAAAAAAAAAAAAGTACCTTTGCATTATGACTAGCCCACATGACTAATACATTAGTATTCACAGAATATACTTTGAGGAAATGTTGCTTTAGATTCAGCCTTTGCCCTTTATATCTTCTGGTGGCTACACCTCATGTTTACATGTTTTGCATTTGCTTTATACTGTCACTATTATTTTGCAAGGAATTGTTAAGAAGATTGTTTAGTAAGGCACCAAGTTAATGTTGTAAACCTTGGCCTTTTTTTAAAGTACATTTAAAGAATGTATAAGTCATACTGCTTTAATTTTCAGCCTTTGAGAAATGCTAGCTAATATAATGTGGGGAGATACCTTATACATGCATACATATACACAATAGTGTACAACCATATAGAGATATGTATGTATATATATATGCAAACACACATTTATATATATAAATGTATACACAAACATTGTGTATGTGTATACATATGTGTCACACGATTAAGTCAAATTGCTACACTGAGGAAAAGTTATAAACGAAAAAATATGTCACTCTATTTGCATTATATTTTCCTAGATCAGACAGTAATTTTATATTGTCACACAGCTATCAGAGGTAAGAGACGTTCTCTGCCCAGTGGCCTCTGATGTTATAAAATTTGTGAAGTCCTATGCTAACTGAAAAAGTTGCTTCCTCCAGTTGCTGCACTGCTTCTGCTGTGTTACAAGTAGGTAGATCCTGATGAATTGAATTCCTCTCTGGCTTTCAGAATCTGCATTCTTTTTCCTAAGGGCTGCTGTTAAGGAGTCGGGATACATTTGATGCTGATTAACTACTGTTGTCCATGTGCTATTCTTTTGTTATTAGAAGGAGACTGACAGAGTAGAAGTAGCTGTTAATTTTCTTTTCTTTTTTAGGCTGCTCCATGGAAAGAGCAGGGCTACCCCATAGGCAAGAATTTTGTCAATAAAAAATTCAGCAACTAACAGAAGAAGCACTTGTGTGCTCATCACTCAGTTACCCATATTTTCATTTGTAATATTTCCCATATATATTTCAAATATCTTTTTTAAGAAATAAAATATTACAAATGTAATCGAATTCCTCTGTCTCTTTCCGGTCTCTTTCTATTGTCTTTGTTAAGCAGAGGTTTTACATGTTAATAGATTTATTGATTGCTTTTTTTCTTTCTTGAGACAAGGTCTCACTCTGTTGCCCAAGCTAGACTGCAGTGGCGAGATCACGACTCAGTGCAGCCTCGACACCCCATGGCTCAAGCATTTGTCCCACGTCAGCCTCTCGAGTTGCTAGGACTATAGGAGTGTACCACCACGCCTGGCTAATGTTTTGATTTTTTGTAGAGACGAGGTCTCACTGTGTTGTCTAGGCTGGTCTAGAATTCTGGGCTCAAGTTATCTTCCCACCTTGGCCTCCCAATGTGTTGAGATTACAGGTGAGATTACAGGCATTAGCCGCTGGGCCTGGAAATAAATCCTTTTTCTTCACTCTTGGTTTTTTATTCTGCCTCAAATTTATTTTTGAGCGTGATGTAAGGAAGTTTCCATCTTTCTTTTTTAAAAAATAAGAATAGCAACACTACAGTAATTCCTTGAATAATACATAGTTTTCTTAGTGGTCCATAGGGCTGTCTCTGTCATATCCCATGTTTACATGTGGACCTGTTTCTGGAATTTGTTCCGTTTCATTGGCCTACTTGTGTAAGTCTATTTGAATATTGTTTTTTGTTGTTGTTTTTTTTCAAACAACAGCTTTTGTAGTAAGGCTTCACACCTGGTAGGAAATGCATTCTTGTAGCTTTCAATACCCACACATTTTTCATAGTTTATGAAAGATTAAATACTGTTTTCATTAGTCACGTTTTTTTGCATGTGATCCAGTGTTTGTACTTACTGTTAATTGACCACAGTTTTATACTTATTGTTAACAGACTATCTCTTTTGGAGCATATCAGTAGTTCCCAGTGCCATAATTTGAGAACTACTGACCTGGATTCTATACAATAGACCAAAACACCTTCTAAAAAATATCTTTTACACTCTCCCTTCCTTTCCCCTTTATAACATATTAGTTAGTAGATGGAGTGCTTATGACTACTTTTAGGTTTTAGAACATTATTTCCACACTATAAACTAGCATTACTAAATTTTAGGTTAGAGGAACCTTCTTTTCCCAGGACTACAGATGATTCTTTAAACTGGGCTTCTTTAGGCTGTAGGGTTTCTGAATTAATTATATTTTTAAGTTTCAGAAATTCAAAAGAAGTTTTTAGGACATTTTGGCTGGTCACAGTGGCTCACGCCTGTAATCCCAACACTTTGGGAGGTCAAAGTGGGCAGATCACCTGAGCCTGGCCAACATGGAGAAACCCCATCTCCATTAAAGGTACAAAAATTAGCTGGGCATGATGGTAGGTGATTGTAGTCCCAGCTACTCAGGAGGCTGAGGCAGGAGAATTGCTTGAATCTGGCAGGGGGAGGTTGCAGTGAGCCGAG